AAGATATGAAATTATTCAAATCATGACACTGGAGGGAGGGGGGAGGAGAAATCTGGATAAGAATTAACAGAATGGCCAAATTAAGTTACTCAGATAAGCGATTTAACCCACAGGCCTCTTGCTTTGTATTTTTTCAGAGAAAATGAAAAAAATATTTTACTTGCAAATAAGATGCTATATGGTTTAACATTTGCTGTAAATAAATACATTATATGAATGTCTAATAAAATATGTAAAGAAAGGATGGTTAGACTATAATATTGAATTTTTTTAAAGTAATATACGCCGTATGGATGCCGATTTGTATGTGAAACAAAATGATTAAATGATTTGAAAAACATAAAGTACGTGTAATGAAAAAATAATATTTCCACAAAATTAAACTATAAAACTCGTTGTAATAACAGAACAATAAAGCAAAACCTGCAATCAAGAATTCAGTCTTTTCATGAATATTGATAAAGGAAGTGCGTAAACAGAAGGTCTAAATATAGACACGTATGTCCACGGGAAATTAAAGACAACGAGGCACGTTGCATTTTGACAACGATTATTAATAAAAGGTTAATATGTGTTATAACAGAGTATAGATGGTTGATACTGATTACATTTAAAGATAAGTTATATTAATAGTAACACGCCATCCATGTCAAAAGTGAGTTGTATCTCAAAGGGCTTACATCGTTTTCTTGACGCCGTGTTTGTTTATCAATCTAAAAGTAGCGACGGCGTCACGTGGTGGATTTACTTAAAAATAGACATTATTCTCCTTGCAGGATAATAAATAATTAAAATTTGATAACTTTATAACGAATTTTATTTAAATGGTGTAATTTACAGCATTTTCGTAACTTTTATTGGTAAACAAAATATATAAATTTCCAGCCGTATTTTAAAATGGCGCACGTTATAGCGTATATTACTTTAAATAATTTTTTTTTATGAAAATAAAACACATTTTTAGTAAAATATTTTTAAAACCTATTGTAAAAAACTAGTCACAACTAGGGAGAAAATATTTGTCATATTTTAAAAAGATTTTTTTTTCAATGGTATTGAAGCATTAGATATCTATGAAAAAAATTGAAACACAAACTTTAAATGCCTCTACATGTGTATATTGTTTTTAAAAATGTCTGGGTGGCTACATTTCATTTCCGTATTGATTCCAGGTTTTGATTAACTGAGTGTTGACATGGTTACTAAAAATAGAAATTTCTTTTGAAATGTTTTCAAAATGCTACTTCACCTACAGTTTTAATTTGATTGCAATAAAAGCCTATGCTATACCCCATGTGTTGGCATCAGCATCTCCCGGGTTAAAGTTTTAGGAGCAGGTCCATTTCTAAGTAACTGTAAGCCTTACCTGGACCAAACTTGCATGGATGATACATCTCAGGAATACTAAGGGATGTACACTACCAGACATGCCTAGGATTTTGAATCTGACCTACATTTTTAGAAGTGACCAAGTTGAGGTTTTTAGAGCCTAGTAATTATTAGCCCTACCTGGACCAAATTCCCAGGGATGATGCATCTAGGGATGGACACTACCAGATTTGTTTTGGATGCTGAATCTGACCTACATTTTCATACATCATGTCTCAAAATTGAACAGGCAATATTTCACACACAGTGCTTGGTACATATATAATCTCATATTTTTCTTAGTTATGCACAAAACACGCCTGGCTGATTTAGATTACCAAGTAAAATTTATGAAAATTAAAAATATTCAATTGATTAGAGAATTTCTGACAATTTTCTCTTGAAATCGTACACAAATGAATTTGAATCTACCAACGTCTGAGAAAAAAATCACTAAATACCATAATTCTAAATAATTCTCAACATCTAAAAATTAATACTCATATGCTGACGAGATGAATTTTATAAAACAGCCTTTTGAATGTGTATACCCTCATTTTGGGGATATGATTTTTTACTACCATTCTTTGCAAAATTTGGAAAAAAGTAGAATTTTAAAAGATGGTACAGTCTTAAAATCAATTGAAATAGATCTCAAGTCAAATTTTCATGAAAATATGAAAAATTTTTGGTCCATACAGGCAATTATAATGCCATTGTGTCTGTCTGTATGTGTAAAATGATTAGAATTTATAGATCCAACAAGCAATTGAGTACCAAGTGTAATTTTTTCCATTAATAATATGTATTCAATGTCTTATATGCACAATGACACTATAATAAACATTTAGATAGTTGATTTATATTTAAACCATTGTGTAAGAAAATCACTTCAATAGAAAAGTGACAATAGGAGTTTTATAATAGGTTTATAAAATTAGAACCAGATCCATAAAAGTATGGGCCTTCCTTAAATGAGAAAAACAATATAATTATATATGGGTTATACTGAATTTTACATAGTGAACCAACAGCAAGGCCATGTTATCATGTTGATTTTAAAGCATACCCAGGATGTGTTTTTCTTTCAAGTTAGGTTTTTTAAAAAAAAATAAAGGTATCTTTTTTGATACAAACAACCTTGGAGCAAAGGCCTAACCCAAATGTAGATTGCTTAGAAAAAAAATGAGGTGTTAAAAAAAAATAAAGGTATCTTTTTAAGGCAACTATAAGTTATAGGGATATGATAATACAAACAATTTTTTTCTTTTGCATGAGTGACTTTGGTTAAAAGAGACTTAACTTATAAAATTTGTCATTGTACAGGTTATAAGTAACCAACAACATCAGTACCAGAATTAGGTCATTTTGACCTACATTTTTCTGTGGATAATTCTTTAAAAAATTTATCCTAAGAACTGGAAAATGACCTACAAATAGACTTGCAAAATATTAGGTAATATATCAATTAAAAAAACAAAAAGACAAATCACACATGAGTGACTTTGTAAAGTTTTACAGGTGATAATTTGTCAGTCTAACATATGGGTAACCAACAATATCAGTACCATAATTAGGTAATCTTCACCTACATTTCTGCATGAATGACTTGATACATATACAGTGGATTTGATTTCAAAATGCAAGTTCAAATTATTGCGACTCATAACACGTTGCAATATTCGCAATAATAAAAAAATAACAATAATTTGTGAATTTAAAGGGTATATGTAATATATATATGCCAATATAAGCCAAGGGATTAGATATTAAGTCAGTGATTTCTTTATTATTGTATTTTTAGTTATTCCTTCTGAAATGTCAATAAAAAAACAATCAATGACAAAAATTCATCAATATCATATATATAGGACTAATATCAATTAAAAAAACAAAAAGACAAATCACACTAAGTAAAGTTTTACAGGTGAAAACATATTTCAGAATATGTTATCTTGGTGCTAAAAGTGCAATAAACCTTAGAAAAATATACCAAGCCAGGTGATTTCTAGGAAGAAAAACAAAATGACAAAAATTCATCAATATCATATATATAGGCTAATTTTTACCATTTATCTTTTCCTGATAAAATTCATCTGGCTTGGTATACTTTTCTAAAGATTATATTACACTTTTAGCACCAATATAACATATTCTGAAATTTATTTTCATCTGTAAACCTTTACTGAGTGTGTTATATCCATTTTGTAATTTTATTGAAATATTACAAATATTTTCCCAGTCTATCTCATTTTCAAGATTTTTGGAGAAAAAATTCTAAGAATTATCCACTTTTCTAAACTAGAGACATGATATTAGTCTCCTCCAAAAAAAAATTTGTTTGTATCATCTGTCCTTAACACACAATTTTCTTAAGCGATCCAAAGGCCTGTGCCTTGGAGGATAGGATATTTCAAAATATGGAGTACTATGAATTTGTGTGAAAGTAGGAATATACCAAGTTTCTCTGAATATTTTTATGAATAACTGCAGGGCCAAGATAAGTCATGTAATTGTTGTGGCCCATGGGCCTGATTCTCACAATATTTCAATCAATGGTAGATACCGTCAATGATTTAATTGAGTAATTAGTTAATTGTTCACATCCGTACTATAGAGTAATCACAGCACACCAACTTTTGGTTCTCAAAGTTTTATAAACAATATTTCAATCTTGAAATTTGGTAGATACCGTCAATGATTTAATTGAGTAATTAGTTAATTGTTCACATCCGTACTATAGAGTAATCACAGCACAGCATGCAGTCTATCAAGGACTAGATTGGTTAAATTGATAATGGAGGTTCATATTTCAGCAACTATAACTTATAGTGGCATGATAGTTAGTCAGTGGATACATCATGGGTAACCACAAACGCCTGTACCAGAATTAACATAACTCTATTTCCTATTTACTTTGACAGGAATTACTTTCCCTGGGGTCAGTCTACACAGCTAACCAACTGTCATATTGTAATCTTCACCTACATTTTCTGCATGAAAGTACAATGACAATGCCAAATTATTGATTAACCGCCTTTACCAGATTTTGTATATATATATAAATGCCAATATAATCGCCAAGGGATTAGATATTAAGTCTGTATCAGAAATGTCAATAAATGTTTATCAGACAATCATTTCCGAACAAAGGAGAGAACAAGTTTAGAAAAGTGGAAAACAGGTCAATCTTGTAGTTTTCATACTTCTAGAGTCTTGCCTCAGAAAAACAAAAGTATATGCTTTATTTATCTCTTAAAATTCAGTATAAAGATTATATTACACTTTTAGCACCAATATAACATATTCTGAAATTTATTTTCATCTGTAAACCAGTGTGTTTATCTATTGTGTCAAGATTTTTGGAGGCCACAAAGGTATTTAACACACAATTAAACCATGCAAGTAAAACAAACATTTAAATAGATTTTTTTGTGATCATTAATTTAAAATTTTTTAAAAGATTTAGACAAGTGAAACATAACTCTTAAACTTTGACAGGAATTTTTTTTCCAAGCTCTGTCATATGACAGTCAAAGTAAGATGACAAGCCTGATTAACCGCCTTTACCAGATTTTTGTCTGTTCATCTAAAAATGTTTTCATACTTTAGAGTCTTGCCTAGGAATTAGTATGGCATTTATCTATTGTGTCAGGCCACAAAGGTATAATTAAACCATGCAAGTAAAACAAACATTTAAATAGATTTTTTTGTGTCTTTACTGCATTTTTTTTTTCTGTGTTTCTTTACTGAGTTTCAGAGTGACAGGGAACCTAGGACCTTATTGTCTTTTGAATAATACTAGCCATCAAGCTTAATTATGATATGAAATTTTTTCAAAGATCATAAAACCCATTTGAGATTTTTTGAAAAAGATAAGAATCAAAATAGATAAGACATTGAACTGTGTAAGAAACTAGCAATTTTTTAATTAAAAAGGATACTCTAAAAAAAACCCTAAAAGAATGTAATTTTCAAAAATAGCATCAATATGATCTGGCATTATATACATATATCTTTAAAATATACAAAAGCATCGATTTCACTGTATTTGTAAATACATTATGAAAGAAATTCATGTTTAACAAAACTTTGCAGATTGCTACGTGTCAACAGTGAATGTGAAAATTACCAACATGTAATCGCAAGGTTGAAAACAGAAAAGGAGAAACTTGTGAGAGAAATAAGTGTAGAGCAGGAGAAAAGCCGGCAACTGATGGTCAAACACAAGACGTCCACAACAAAACTCAAGTCCGAGAAGGAGGAGGTAAAAAAAAAAAACCCACTAAAGGATGGAAATGTAACTTTAGGTTAGAAAATCATGGTTAAATTAATATTATGTTTTATTCTGATTTTTGATAGGTGAAGAGACTTACAAGTGTTATCAAGGACAGAGATACACAATACAAACATGACTTAAAAAAGAAGGAGAGAGAATGCAATAAATTGAAGGAGAGAATCCATCAGTTACTGGCTGATAAAACGCCTAATCGGAGAGTAGGTAAGAATCAGGGATCAGTATTGCCAAAAATTTCATATCGCAATATATCACGATTTTTTCCCAAAATATCACGATAATATCCTGATATTTTTACAAGCAAATTTTACAATGTATCTGACCTTTGTTACATTTTTTTTTAGGTTTAGATATTGCCTGCTCCTTACACAGTTCTGATGGCAGAAGAAGTACATGGAAAACAACCTCCAACAAGTATGTGGCTTACTGCTAATACAGAGCTCCAAATCAAAAGGACTCATTTACCATCAAAGCATTGTCTGTGCTTATTTTTTTCAGTGTAACATTATATATAAAGATTTTAAGAATATTTTTTTCTATGATCTGTAATCTTTATAAAGTTAACATTAATTTTGACAACTTTCACAATGACCCTTTTAGACAAGATGAAATGTACCAGCAGTTGATCTCAATGTATGAGGAGAAACAGAAGAAACTATTGGTAGAGAACACAGAATTGAGGACCAGTCTAAAACATGTTTACAAAGATGTCAGCAATGCACTGGGCCTTCATGATCACCTTATCACTACAAAGGTTTTTATTTTAGCCATCTTTGTTCTTAATTGTCTTCATACATATACATTTATTTCTGGTCTTTTCTGATTCTGATTTAACCTACATCATAACTTGATTAAAACATTAAAGAAACTTCCTATTGAATATATGTACTTTATTTTTGTTGTGTAGAGTACTCCCTCACAGGATGTGGAGTCAGGTTCCAGTGAGGAAGAGTTCACAACCTACCCCTCAGCTTGTAATTATAGGACTCAGGACTCAGATGGTAAGTTTTACAACCAATAAATAGCTATAGGACAATTTACCCATCATTCTCTGGTGTGAAATATGCATACTCTAGCAGTAACATTTATCAAAAGAGTAAACCAAATAATAGAAACGAGCATGTTTTACCGGTTGAACAATTATTTCCTAATTCACTTAGATATCCTCTTTGACAAGACCTTAATTTCCAAATAATCTATAATTTTAAACCAAAGACCTTGAAGTTTGACCTTCATTTAAAAAACATTGTCCTTAAAAAAATTTCGTAGGACAAGTACACCTAGAGGATAGAAAAAAGTACACCCAGAGGATAGAAAATGGTCCTTTTTTTGGTGCTTTTTAAATATAGAAGTATCCAGAACTATTTTTTCTTATCATAGATTTTTAGTGGGTGATTGAAAATCTTCTTGCAAATAATGAAAAGGAGGTAACTTATAGAGCTTCCTGTCCAAATACAACCATTAAGCTTTAGTTCAAAATATGCATTAATATACATGTATTTTCATATATGAAATAAGTGGGAGAGGAAGAAAATTTAATTTCAGGAATTTTTTGGAGGATGGGGTGTTGTCTATCCATGAATTATTATAATCATTTGATATGATTCTATTTTAGGGTACTTTCAAATGCCTTATGACATGATTAAGGAAACATTAGAGACCATGTTCAAAGAAAGATCAAGGAAATTGAAAGAAAGGAGGAAAAGAAAGCTGCCAAGTGAGTGAGAAAATACATGATCTCCCATTGTTTGTAATATTCAATCCAATGAGTTGAGTGCTTTTATCCCTGGACCTTAGGAAGGGGAGAAAAACATGGTTCCTTGTATAAAAAATTAATCTAACCACAATCCATGGGAAATTAATTTTATTAAATGTGTTACACATATCTGTTTCATATTTTACACTATTTTTTATATAATGAAAGAAAATCCACAATATTTGATCAGATTTGTACAAAAACATTTGACATTACAACTGTGGATATGAAAAGGATATCCTATGAACTATATCCTCTCTGTAGAGGCGAAAACTTTTGATATCAAAAAAGTTTTGTAGAATTTCAAGTTTATAATTCCTATATATCATTGAGAGACTAAGCAAGACTTTTTCAAGATCTCTCTGTGAGATGGTTAAGCCTAAGGAAATACATCTGATAAAAGGAAACTGGAAACTAGATTGTCTGTCTTAACTTGAGGTTTATTTCTACAAATGTCTAAAATAAATTTCTGGAGCAGATTTCTTTTCAAGTACTTCTGTGCCCTACATTAATCAGAGATCCATGTAAGATGCTTCTAGTGTGTTTCATTAAATGAGTCCAGGTTTCTATTGCTGCAATATTAGCAAAAGAATGACCAGGTTAAAGTTTTTTGGAGCATGTGTCATTTTCAAGTGACCTTAACCCTATATTGATGAAACTTGCATGGAAAATACATCTCAGGATGTACCTTACCAAGCTTGCTTTGGATGCTGGATCTGAGACCGACATACATTGTCTGAATGAGTGACCTGTTAATGTTCTTGTAGCAGGTTCATTCTAAACTATTTGCATGGATGATATGTTTAAGAATGCACACTACAGGCCTGCTTCGGATGCTGAATTTGACCTATATTTTTCAGATGAGTGAAGAGGTTAGTTTTGGGGGGAATTTCTTTCTAAAGTGACTATAAGCCCTATGTTAACCAGTTTTTCACCTATGATACATTAATTGTTGCACACTACTAGATAATTAGTTTAGTGTGGGACTTTGTCTTACTTAAAATTGAAATGAGCCCTATAATCTCTGAGTAGCTACCATATGCTTAATTAAAATGACAGTTTAGAATATGTTTTTCATTGAGTTTAACAAAATATTAAGCCTAAAAGCATCATATTTTTCCAAGGGGTAGTTATAAAGCAATTCATTTCCCATTGAATACACAATAATTACAAATGGTCTACAATTTTTGTTTAGGATGAGGATTTGATCAGTGCAAGACAAGGAGAGTTTGTTAACACACCTTTGTATTGATAAATGAAGGAGAATACTCTTTCAAAGCAAGGCCGTTTTTGGGATCGCTAGTAGTAATATATTATTTTACACATTGGTTACTTTTCTGGTATATGCTAAATTTTCTTTGCACAGCTGTCTTTCAAAATGTTTTGAATCTTCAGTTATTTTCTGCAACTTTACTCAGGCATACTTACTAAAATCTAGAAAAATAAAGCATTATTAAAAAATTTTCATTAAAAATGAATCAAGGAAATCATCCAAAAATTAGAGGCCTGGATAAGTGAGAATAGATATGTACCAGCTTGGTGACTGGTCACAGTAATTACTGTATATACACAGCCACAGACGATAACGAAAGTTACTGGACAGGTGATGGCACGTTAATGTCTGTTTAAAAATGGCAAGAATATATTTAAGTTGAGGTTTTTTTAATAAGTTTTTGATTTAAAAAAAATGCACTTTGAAATATGAAAAAATATACATAAAAAAAAACTGAGTATCAATTTAAGCATTCAATATTTAGATGTTTGATTGAGTAACTCATAAACCGGGTACTTGTTGGTATTGATAAAAAATATATGTGTGTGTGTTTGCTTAATTATTTTAGGTCCTAACAAACCTGCCAGATCTTGTCCCCCTAAGCAGTCACCAAACAAGCATTGTGACTTGGAGCAGCTTAATAAGGAAATGGAGACCTTGAAGAAGCAGATTAAGACATACGAAGATCAGATAGAGAAACATAAAAGGGAGAAGGAGAATTATAAAGAGGTCATACAACAACAGGAGGACATGATTCAGGTCCCATTTATTATACATAATGCAAATAAGATTTATAAAAAGATGAAACTTTTCTTCCAAAAGTGGAATCCAGGGTTAGAGTTGGCTAAATATTAGGAGCAAATTTTACAAAATGCATGAAAGACTTTTTAGCATTCATAAAAAAGATACAATTTTTATGAAACTTTGAGGCTTAATGTAGATTCTAAAAGCTTTAAATCAAGGCCCCTGGGGATAGTGGCTGGTAACAATAGGGGATCAAAGTTTAAAATTTAAAAATAAGAAAATAACTGGAAAGGATCATTAATCAGCAAACATTCCCAAAGATTTGTGAATTTATTTTTTGTTCTTCCAAAAATGGGCCCAAGGGTTAGAGTTGGCTAAAAATTAGGAGCAAATTTTACAAAATGTATGAAAGAGTTTTCTTCTCAATACCTGCAAGGCCATGATAGCCATATTGATTATGAAAATTCCCCATATTGTGTGGGGGATCAGAGGCCTCCTAAAGTTAATAAAATATGGTTCTTTTTTTTTTTGTTGAAAAATAAAATACGATGAAGAAAGTTACAGAGGTGGAATTAAAATTTAGATTTCCCGGTTGCTTTTTATTAACATGAAAGCCTGTAAAATGATTATGCTAAGAAAAAAAAAATCCTGCAAAAGCAGTGATTTTCTACCCACATAACTAAAAGCAACTTTAATCCTAATAGTACTTCACATTTCTTTCAGTATTTTGATTTCTTTACAGAATTCCATTCAAATGCACAAACACCAGAACTCGACAGAGCATATTTTGAATGACTCCAAGGTTGAAGAGGAACGCGAGAGTCTTTTAGAGCAGAAGAGATTATTTCATGAAGAGAAGAACCACTTCACAGAGGAGAGGAAACAGTTTACAGAGGCAGCCATTAAACTGGGTAAAGAGGTACGAGTTGTCCAGGGAGATAAATGTTAACTCTCTCAAGTTACTCAATTTGTTGTATACTTTATAATGTGTCAGTCCTGTTACAGGCATATCAGACTTTTTATTGGGAATCAGTCTTGTTTTATACAGTGAAAATCAGCAGATATGTAATAATTTTCTCTTAACTATCCATCTGTGTTCTGCTTTAGAGAAGAGCCTTAGAGGAAGAAAAGACTGCCATTTTAAAGAATCAGTTTCTTCAGATATCACCCTTCAGATCTCCCTCAAAGACCTCAAATCTGAACAGTACAGCTCATAAAGGTAGGTTCATCTGAATCAGTACAGCTCATAAAGGTAGGTTCATCTGAATCAGTACAGCTCATAAAGGTAGGTTCATCTGAATCAGTACACTTCATAAAGGTATATCTGTTGTTATAAGTTCTGTATTGTTCCATAATGTGTACCTGAACTCTGCAAGCACTGAAATGATGCAGAATTTCCTGTCACACATGGTCTGGTTCATGTGTCTATTCTCAAACATTCAAATAGAAATAAATAAGTGATAAAGAAAAAAAAAGTTAGATTGATTGGTGAATAGATTGCAATCACTAAATTTTTTACCAATATACCACTTTTACGCACTACTGGTATTTTGTACGATTTCAGTGGATTCCATTCGCCTCCTTCCGTCCACCCCCCAGTTTTCACCGGCTTATCCAGGACAGCCAAAGACTCCCTCCACAGTAGAACTTTTCAGATTCCTGGGAATTACCCCAAAGGAGCAATTCTTGTAAGTGGATCATGCATTATAAATATCAGTATTCCTCTGGGTTCTGTTTTACAAAAGATTTTATAACTTAGTTTAAATATTTTAGATCATTCTAACATCACTTTCTTTATATTATTGTGAGATTATGCTTCATATACAGATTAAATTTACTTCTTTTATCAAAATAAGAATAGAATAAAGTGTAAAAGTAGGTTTTGCATTTCCTATCTAAAGATTTCATTGCTGTGAAAACTCTGTATTTTTTTCCTTCCAGACATGACAAAAACTCTTCATTAAGTGACTCCAGTGAACTGAAGAGATCCCACAGTTATGAGTGCCTTAACAGTAACACCACACTGACCACCTCTAACAACAGTGGCGACCTTTCTGTATTCTCTGAGAATAAGTCTGGTGTAGTCAAGAAATCACTATTCCAGCACCTCTCCTGTACACAAAGTAATGATGATCTGGGAATTTAACAGAAATTTGTTGTGTATCGGAGCTGATTATTTGAAATGTGTTCTATTTTTTTATTTGTAATGAACTTTTGTGAGGGCTGTTTATTTTTCATGACTTCAGCAAATGCATAAGGATTTGATCATACAGCCAAATGAAAATATGTGTTGGGTTTATTTTTTCACTCAAGTGAGCTTTTCTGATAATGTTTCGTCCATCTGTCTGTCTGTAAACTTTTAACACTTAAATTTTTTTCAAGAATGTCTAATTTCAACTAAAATTGTTTCACACCACCCAGAAGGGTATTCAAATTTCTTCATATGAAATACATCCCCCTTTTTCAAGGGGAGATTATTAAGAAATACTGTGGAATCATCAATGTTCAATGATTTTGTGGGTCACCCTTATCCATGAATTAACATTGCCTTATACAATTATTTTGTCAAAATATTTTTTTCATGGAATCTTCTGTATATACGAGTTATCTTCAATTATGTCCCATGAATCAAGAAAATGTTGTACATTGACCACACAAATAAAAATGATTCCACAGTAGTGATATAATGATGTGGCCATCTAAAAAATATTACAAAAACCTACGGGGTCAGAAAAGATGAAACTATTGTTTTAGAACATTCTCAGCTTCTTTCCAATCCAGATGGTCAATAGTTTAGACTTTACATTTATGGTTTGTATATGAGACTTTACTTTGTCTTTGACTAATGACTATTGTGGACGATGATGGCCTTTTTATTTTGATATTAAGTGTTATCACTTTTGATGTAAATTTATGTATTGGTCGTCGATTCTGTGTGGAATGCATGGAATTTCACTATTTGCTACAAAGGGTTGGGGATTGTCAGAGTTTTAAAGGGCACTTTATTAAGATGACTGACATAATATGTTACAGGTGTATTGGCATATTTATATATACAATTGTACTTGTATGTTCAGCTAAGATTTTTAACATTTTCTTCTCAAAAATTACTGTACCTACTTCAAACAAACTTGAAATATTCTTGAGTAAGGGGGTGAGGGATTAAATTATTTAAATTTATCAATGAAAAAATGAGTGTTGTAATGTGAGTCAAACAGCAATGTAAATTTCATTGAATAATGAATATTGATATACATGTACAGCAAAATCATCTTCTGATTTTAACTTTTTAGATATTTACATTTCCAATGTCTTTGAGATAAAATTACAAATTTTAAAAATACTTTTTTCTACATAAATCAGCTGGTTTATCAATAGGCATGGTTTAAAAAAATTATGTGCAGGGCAGGACAAATAAGACAGAAGCAGGGCTTGTAGCATGTTGATTTGCGGAATCAAGAGCATGTAAATATACGGAATAACCTTCGGCATTTATGCAAATGATCACACAAGTCACTCAATTGATCACATCATGAAACCAAAAAATTAGAATTAAACAGTTATTCATTAAATTAGTTGAGGGTCAATAGGGGTCTCATTACATGTTCACTGGGCAGAGAGAAAAAAGTGCAATATATGTGATAACTGTAGTTAATAGATTTAAGCTTTTGCTTTTTCTTCTTTTTATTTATTCTTTATTAAAAAAAGATAGACAATTGCGAAGATATTGGCTGATGTATAAGTAAGTGCTCAGTAGGCATTGCTGTGGTCTGCAGTAGAGGAAATACCTGGGAAATAGAGACTTGGACAAGGAACAAAGTTAAATACTTTTTTCTTTAAATATATATTGCCCTGATATGAATAAATGATTTTAATATATTATACCTTTTCCCTTCTTCCAGAGCAAGAATGGAAAATAATGAAAAATAGCCATACCTCAGACTACAGTCAAGGTATCTTAGAATAAAAGATTTTTCCATAATTTTATTGATTGCAGAAGTATAACTTATTCATTGCATTAATTAACAATGATGTGAAAGTTAATAAAAGGCTTTTTTATGCCCCCATAATCAAAGATTATACTGATGTAGTGGTATACCCTATTCATATGTAATAAAAGTATATTCATATGTATACTGATATAAAAGCCATAGAATTAACCTTTACAAAACAAATGCTTATAAGGTTAAGTTTAAGAAAAGTAGGTCAAACTACAAGGTCATGTTCAAGAGGTTAAAATGTTGGTACCCAAAGATAGGTCTTTGCACAAGAAATACACATGAAGTATAGAAATCAAATAACGGTATGAAATTGAAGGTTTGAAAAAGAACTCAATAGCAAAAATTGTTTATGCTTTCATGTTTCATATTCCTTGTGATGGGACCATCAATTTTGATCTCTTGTACTTATAGTTTGATTTTTACTTTTGAAATCCTTTAACCTTACCCATAACTTCAAAACATTTTAGAACTTTCATATTTCAAATAGGGACATTCCTTGTGACTAGGCATTTCTTAGGTACCACACTTTGACCCATAAGTTTGATTTACATTTAAAAACTTAACCTTGGCCATTACTGATGTTTTACAATGGCATCTATACATGAGGCAAAAACATCTACATCAATGATATTATCATTATAATTTTATGATAATGGGAAGTATATTCATTTCAGTGTATTAGACTACCTCTATGGAAACATATCAAATAACATATCATGTTGATGAGGATTTTATCGTTAGTGCATTCTCTTGTATTGCATTGGTGCCTTGTTATTTTCAATTTTTATAAAATAATATCTTGTATGTTTTTTAACACTTTTCTTTTTTGAAAAATTAAAAGTTTGTATTTCCAAAATGTTCTCTTTTATTTATTTTCCTAAGTTGGAGGTGATATAGTAACACAGTTTTGTGTTTGTTTGTTTGTGGGTGCATGAGTTAGTGCTTAGCCATGAAGAACTGTAACTCCCTGAAAAAACATTGAAAGACAGGAGAGCTTCAAAGCCACCCACTGAAAAAAGAGTATATTAATTGTATACAAAAAAGTGCAGTTTTTTAGCTTACCTGAGCTGAAGGCTCAAGTGAGCTTTTCTGATCACATTTTGTCCATCGTCCGTCCGCCTGTCTGTAAACTTTTCACATTTTCGACTTCTACTCAAGAACCAATAGGCCAATTTTAACCAAACTTAATACAAAGCATCCTTGGGTAAAGAGGAGTTTAAATTGTAAAAATGAAGGGGAAAGTCCCCTTACAAGGGGAGATAATCAGGAAAAGACAAAAATAGGGTTGGGTCATTAAAATCTTCTTCTCAAGAACCACTGGGCCAGGAAGCTGAAACTTATGTGGAAGCATCCTTGGGTAGTGTAGATATTAAATTGTTAAAATCATGACCCCCGGGGGTAGGTCAGGGCCACAATAGGGAATCCAAGTTTTACATACACGATAGGTATAGCAAAAGGGGAAATCTGGTAAAGAACTGCATCACTCAAGTTACTCTGGTGAGCGATGTGGCCCATGGACCTCTTGTTATTTACTTCTATTTTTCAAACTGCCATCTTAAAATATTACTTACAATCATGTGTTTCTAACTCATTCTTTTACTATTTCCACAACAAAACATCCCTAAAAACCATTGTAAATAGCCCTCATGTGCTTAAAATTGAGACCATTGAAAATTTTTTATTTACATGCCATGTTGAGCATGGGATAATTTTGTCCAACATGTTTTGTGCAAATAATAGAGTAGTTTTAAAATAGAGGTCAAAAGAACATTATGAAGTTAAGCTTTTGTACAGTTAAGGAAAGAATTTGGAGAAATTTCATTATTCTAAATCTAAAATTGGTGCGCAATAGATATACGTTTTTTTTTAATTCTAAGGCACTGTAGCTCCCTGCTCATCCATCCCAATTTTTTTCAGACCAGCGAGCTACAGATCTACAGCTGGTAAGTGAAATGGAAGTAATGTCATTTGCATCGGAAATGCTGCCTTGATTTCTAAATATGCTCTTTGCTATGCACTCCTTGTTATTGATAGTGTAATCCGTTTGTCTTTATAAGCCGGTTTTATTAAAATATATCATTTTCCACTGATCAGGTCGAAAACGATATATTTAAAAACGGCTTATAGAGACAAAGGGATTACATTATCGATATCAAGAAATGCTTATTACACTACCAAAATAGGAAAAGTGTGTGTCGACCCCAGATTTGAAAAGAAAAAAATGAAGGTTGGGGGGGGGGGGGTCCAGCCCCCAAGTGCCTGTGGTTTTTCCGTTTGCCGGAAAATGTTACAGAGTACACGGCGGGGTGATCGCTCGACGGAGGAATTAGGCTGCTAACTCCTCCGTGGCACCTGATTCCATTCCTGTTGTTTTTTTTTTGTTTTTTTTTAGAAATCCGTTTTTGCTATTTACTGATTTGTATTGTTTATATATATATATATATATATATATATATATATATATATATATATATATATATATATATATATATATATATATATATATATATATAAATATATAATGGACTTTTGAGCGTGAATACTTCAACAAAATATATAATTCTAATAAATCATGAATGTATGCCGACATGCATTGTAATTGTCAATAAAGTGAATTGAATAATTCTTATAAATCATAACAAACTAATCCTCAGAATTCTGATAATTTTATTTACGAATGTTCAAATATAAAATGAAATAAAAATCAACAAACAATGGGTAATACTGGTAGTGGTAATACAACAGTGTCATTATAAATAGTCTATTGTACAATATGATAATGCTTATCGAATCACGGCCCAGTTAACTTGTTCCATTCCTTTCTTCTTTTCAAGACCATGTATTGATCCTGGAAATTTTTAAAAGAAATCTTTAGTAAATTTAACATTCAAAAAAGACAATAGTGGTGACCACAATAATGATAATTAAATATCTATATTTATCTGTATATTATGATTGAGATTAATTAACAGATATATGGAGGGTTACTTAATGTCATTTTCAAAACCTAATTTCATTTTTTTTTTTTCGCATGCAGCAAATGATAGTCATAGAATGCAAATTTAAATGGGCTAACTCGCATTTACATAATCATATATTTATCAAATTTTGTGTGAATTATTTCACAATTCAATCAAAGTTTTGCCAGTTGAAGACGAAAGACCTAAAAACGCATCGGTATATTTAATAGAAGACAGAACTGTCAATGACTGGTCATTTTTTGGTCATGTCATGAAATTTAATCGAAAACATGTGGAAAATGCAAAAATATATAATTGCTACATTACCACTCAATCAAACAGCACAAACGTGTTCGATAACCAATGCGCGTTAATCAAACTGAAATCAAATGTGATTAAGGTTAAGGGTATTCAGGTGAGCATTGTGTCCCACGAACTTTTAAAAACCATTTTTTTAAAAAGGGTTCTAAAATTTGATGATTATTAATTTAGTTTTGTTTGCTAATTTACTTTTGTGTACTACTCCCTGTAAACTTTATCTCATTTCTTAATGTAGAAATGCAGCCTAATAATTATTTATAATGTCTATAAAAGTAAATACTTCCAATAATATAAGAGTCGCCCGCATGGCGCAGTGGTCAGCTCTAGAGTCGCGAAGTAAGGAGTTGACCTTACGTCTCGGGTTCAAATCCCACTGTGGGACGTGGAGACCGGTCCTTCGGATGAGACCGTATAAATCGAGTCCCTTTGTCGCAGTAGATGCTAACACAAAAAAAGATCCCTCACTGCTAGCATAGGACAAAATTTACAGCTCTTCACCGGCAAGTGGTGACGTCTCCATATGAGTGAAAAAGTCATGAGAGGGACGTTAATCAAAATACAATCAATCAATTTAATATAGGATATTTATATAAAGGAAAGTCGATGTTAATTTGGTTTTGCATAAGACTGTTAAACAAACACTTAGATTAGTAACCGAAAACAATCCGACTGAACACATATTAAGCACACAGATACTGGTACATCGTATCTCATGCAGACATTCAGAGCTAGTTCAGTTTGTGATGTGAGGCAACCCACATACACACAGGACTACAGTACTTGGCCATAAGTGAGTCATAATTTTATTTTTCCACTATATATTTCATTGAAAAACGCATTTTTCTAAAATATTATCGCAGTGTCATTTGTTGTTTCTTTTTCATGTCTAAAACACCATAAAATGCAGAATTTGATGTAGTTTCTTCACATTATTTCAAAATAGTTTTATCTTTATGCATTACCGTGAAATCACAGGTCAAATGCAAAACAAAAATTTTAAGACTTCAATTTGTTAAGAAATCATAGTAATTTGAGGTTAGAAAATGTTGTCTCTACAATATTTTATAATTTATTCTCAATGGTTTAAGTATCATTTTGTTTATCAATTAAGATAAGAAAATTTGAATAATTCTGCATGTTTCAGTGAAAAAATCATGAAAATTGACCTAAAATTGACTTCACAACAAGTTTTTATAAAAATAGGGTTTTCAATGAAATATGTAGCGTAAAAATGCAATTATGACTCACTTATGGCCAGGTACTGTAGAATCATATCGAGGCAGCAAACGGAGTTAAGTTTATCAACATGTTTCAAAATGTAAGAACTCAAATTCAAACTTGGTTTTGTTACCCCTTAGTCCGTGACGGCGGGTTGTTCTATTGCTGGAAGAACTAGCGAAACAAAGAAGGAATGTGTCGATTTGTTTCCAGCCAATATTTAGTCTTCAGATTTTAAAGAAAGTATATGTGTAACAAGTAACACTCATAGTGATCAAAGACATGCTTAATTTACGTTGGCCTTATTTCTCTGTCGTGGAAAAAAAGTGAAGAAAAAAATCGAAATCAGTATCTCTTACCATCTGGTCTGCCATCTCGGTTTTGTGACACGGACAAACTTCTACTTAGAGGTCGTCTTTGACGGCCTTCTGGTTTCATTAAATGGCCACCGGGTACATCATCAATCTTTATGCTATCTTCATAAGCAATTTGACCTATCATGAAAATAGTATAATTAATCACTAGGCCATGTAACCAAATTACCCACTTTGGTCATATATTGAAAAGAACATTCCTTTAAAGATTAAAAAAGACTGGATATAGGCAGTTACCATGAAAATGAAATGGAAACCGTTTCATATAGTCTTTTACCAAGGAAACGGTAGACATTTTGAAAATGTGGGAAGCATAAAAATAGCCCGAAATATCCGACGTCTTCTTGGCCTTTTTAACGATTTTTGATATTTACGTGCCATGAAAAAAATATCAAAATCGTGAAAAAGCCTGGAAAACGTATGATGTTTAGGACAAAAAAAAATGGGTGAATGTAATTATTATGAAGTTTTATAAAGATTGGCCCAAGACATCAGCGAGAACTCTATTGGACTAGCAATAACAATGTATGTATGTCGCCCTGACTTAGTTTATTAGGGACATACATGCAGTTACACATTGCAAACCAATACAGAAACCTACCATCTACAAACACAATACGTCGCCCTCCGGCTTGTAGCACTTCCTTAACGTGTCGCCAAGACCCGCCTGCTCGGCCATGTCTAAGTCTGTTTGAAAAAAGTTTGAAATATAATTTTTTAGATGAAACAGATTGTATTTGAATGATTGGGAGCAAACTTTTAAAAAGGCCTACTTTGGAGGACCGAAGACTGGGAAATGCTTATTGGGAAACTGTTGACTGATTTGCTGGTACGATTTGTGGAAATCATCATATCCGTTGTTTGTGGAATAGCGTAGATGTGGAGGGATAGATTCATCCATCTAAAATTACAAATAAATATCAGTCTTTACGGTCTTT